ATATCAGGGGTCACCGACCTTTATTGATAGAGACAGAGTTTTTCGGGGTAGACACCTTTGTCTACCATTATTATTTTTATATTTATGAAAATGATAGTTATTCAAGTCTCAGTTGTTGTTTTTTTCAGTTGCTTCAATAATGGGGAACACATGATATTTTCTCTTTCAGTGTGTGGAATTTGGCACTCAGAGAGTACATGTATATATGTCAAAAAAGTACTTCAAAAAAACAATACTATCAAATTTGGCTGGGATGAATAAATGAAGAGTAATTTCAAATGAATACTTGTATGTGAGTTTAAACTTGTCCCATTTGAGCTGCTCCGGTGTCAGGGTGTAGCGCTTGTTTCTGGACAGGTGGAGCATTTGTGATCGGGCCTCTTTGCGTATCCCGATGAGCAACACAGTGGTGTAAGCTTCTTCCTTGGACAAAGAAAAACCTTCAGTTAATCACCCAGCAGTGTGAAGTGAAGTCAGGCACAGACTCCTCAGACATCTGTTATTTGTACTGAACCCTAATTGAAAGAGGATGGAGTCAAAGTCTTTCATTTGGCTTTTCGTGGAATTCATCATTATGCATGACATTCTTTGCTCTTTTAAAATGTCTCTGTGTGATGTTCGTCTTTTGTGGTTGCAGACATTAACCCACATTAGATACACAGGCAGTTAAAACTGTCCTCAAGTGCTATCATTTCAGCATTTTGCATGTGAAAGATATTTCTGCAGAGCCATCCCATTTCTTGGAAAAGAAAAGTGATGAGCAGTAAAAATGTTCTCCCAACTTTAAATATGATACTTTTCATGGGCAGGATATTCGACGTGAACATGGGCAACACTGACTCCAAACAATCACACCTGGGTTATGGACTATTTTTATTGCTTTGCGAGCCTGATTATGGGTGCGTTGCATTATATTGCTTTCATAAATATTCTGACTTAAGTTAGGCTGTGGTTTATCTTGGCCGCAATGCTCCATAACAGAGCTCACAGCAGTTGATAAAATCTCTCACTCTTCATAAAGATGGATTCAAGTAATAAATCCACTTTTCAGCATTTGATGAAAAGGCTGCACATGCTGTGGTTGTGAACCCAGGAGACAGTTCTGGGCTTTAGAGAGCTTGACGTACAATTGAAAATAAAGTTGAATTAAAATAAAACTACTGGAGCAGCAGACACCTGCGAACAAACGCTATTTTCCATCTCATGTGTTTTCATGCACAACTATGTGACGCTACAAGAGTACTACAATAGAAGAAGTATGCATCTCCTTAACCAGTTTTTATGGACAGAACATTGTGGATGTTGTGTTAGCTATTAGCTTATTACGTCTCAGCTCTTCAACTCGACTTCCATTCGTTAAATAATAATAGCAGACTCTTCTTATTTGAATCTGTGTGTTATGTGTTGGCTGATGACAACTTTGTTCGGTCTTTTAATGCTCCTATACTACAACTGATGCTACGCTATGCAACTTCTGCTAGGTAGATGCATGAACAGTCCAGTAAGGATGTACTTGGACCTTAATCTGATTTATCTGGGTTTTTTGGATGAACTTGACCAGCCACATCTGGACAGGGATACAACTATATTTTTCTTTGTTTGAACTTGACAGACTCTTTGTCATGCCTCATTTTAGACAATGGTTTTACGACCTATAAACAAAAGATATAAAAAAAACTCCTGATGCTTCAGCTTGTTCTTACTATACAGTGGAAACTCTTGTTGTGGGTTTTAGGGTAATATCACAGCCACTCCCTCCACTTTGTATTCTACACCACATCCTCTGGGTACTAGTCCTGCTTTGCCCAGTCAGGATAAGTAGATACAGAACTTCCTTCATTTCCTAACCAAAATAGTGAAACAGAGGCAGTCATTCTGGCAGGTTGTCCTTCAGTGCTGTTGCTGCTGCGGCTGCTGCTGGAGCAGACAATGTCTCTGGCTATAATAATTCTAACCGCACTTTTTATAGGGGTCATTATTTGATGCTGCATGTGTTTTCTGGACTTTGGCAGACACGCTGGAGTCTTGTGTTTAGTGTTTCATGAGTTAGTTTATAGTCACTGCAAATTTAATCTGAAGCCTTGGCAGGAGTATTGATGAGCCATACGCGTGTCAGACTAAAATATATGGTTAAGATCAAACCTTGTCAGTCAGTGGACGCTCTAACACACACACATCTCTAAATGTATCCAAACTGTTAAAAAAATTCTTAAACATGTTGAAAAAATGAAAAATGTGTCATTATGAAATTGTAGGTAATAAAAAGTGTATTGTGTGCACAACCTATGCCTTGTATAATCCTGACAGAGATTGGTGTTAATTCATTTTTCTGAAAATTCCTGAGACATTATGGTACATAAATACATTTACTTTCTAATATTAACCAACACGTGAATACACATAAAAAATGTGATTTTTTTAAATCAGATAATTTAAGAAACTACATAATGATCCCTCAAACTGTTGGCATCACTGATAAAAGGGATTGAAAGCTGTACACTTGGAGCAAAAAACAACAAAAGGACATTTTATGAATGAATGAATGAATGAATTTTATGACTGTTGTTTTTTCCAGCTGTGACGTAATTATCTTGACTCGGTCATTTTATCATGTTATTTTTCTAATAACTGTCATTTTACACTAGGCTATATACTGTATATTTAATCCTGCTATTTCTTATGTTTTATTTCTTGGTATCCATTTAGTTTTAAAAAAAAATATTATTGAGGATAGTATTTAGCACTGCTATAACATATGAGAGACGGTTGCAAGCGGGGGTTAATAAAGTTGTTAATTTTTGTCTTTTTACAGTTTTACTGCTTTGTGTAATGACAAAACTTTTATCCCGAATGTTCGGGAGGCTCTTGGTTTTCACAAATAAACAAAATCCAAATAATCACTGCTTTGCATTTTCACAGGATGACATGATAAATATTAAATTGTAATAATTCTAAATAAGGTTTGGTTTGTTGTAGTATGAGATTGTAAGAGAATGAAAGTTGGAACTTTAAAAGTTGCATATCCCAATTCGTTGAATATTTGACAAGAGGAAGGAGTTGACACTGTGAATGTAGCTGTCATAAAGTGATCACGACATACCTCTAACCTCCAGGAGGGAAACGCTGTGGTTTGTTGCATCCCTGCAAACAGGAGCGTGAGCAGCGCGACCACAGCCAGCACAGGAGCGACGCTCCACTCTCCTCTGGGACTCTGACAGCATGCCATGGCTGCGATATCACACCTCCAGCAGAAATGATAATACTAAAAAATAATTATTATCCCCTCGGCGAACACTACACAGATGTACCGTGCATGTCTTTCACTCCTCTACTAGTTGGCCATTGCACTGCTCGGTAATGTGCTGTGACTTGTTTGGGTTTGCGCAGGAGCGCAGTCCAGCCTGTGGAGCAGCGGATGTAGTAAGTGCAGCAGCAGCAGACAGGAGCAGCAGCAGACTGCATCACAGCTTTTCCGGCCGCACGTGCGCCACAGCCTGCCAGAGGCCTGGTTTCACGTTACTGCAAACCGGGGCAGGGGGTCAGCGTCGAGACAATCTAATGAAAACCAAACGCGCCCTGTCCATCAAACCACATGCCTCAAAACCGCTAGAGTGGAAATTAAAGCAAAATTATATGGGTTTTGATGATCATGACTTTTAAAGGTTTGTGAGGTGATGCTGAGGGTCGGAATTAAAGTTGCAACTCACAGCTTTTAGGGACTTTTACTGTCAGTAACTATTTTTCTGATATAATTATTCGACAATGTTGAATTTATTTGGGTTATTTAAGTATTTATGTTTTGGACAGAACAATAGAGCTCTTCCTATATTTAGTTGGGGCATTCTGTCAATATAGCTATTGATCAGTGATTATCTCTTGCCTCAGACCTTTTTTTGTCGCAGTTTTATTTGAATTACTACATAACTACAGCAAAAACATTGGGAAAAAAACACATTCGGATTTTGTTTAAAGTTCATTAGTACATGAAGACAAAATTAAATACTTTATTTATAAATTTATTTAATTTGTGGTGAGTGTACATATATTACAAATGCGTAAGTGTTTACGCATTAAATATCAATATCATGTTTGCTCAAATATAGTAGACAATTTGCATTTATGTGGTCAAATATATGTATTATACGTTATCTGTCGATAATAATAATTTTTTTTGGTATGGGAAGGCCTGTGCACATAAATAATACAGTGTAATGTTAATACCTAGGATAACATGTGAAACGCGTTTTAAAATACAGTAAGAGAAAGAATCACAAGGCGGAACTAATGTGCTGGAAACGCCGTTTCTTCAACGACCAGTTCCTTGTTGCGATTTAGGAGGAGGAAATGGCGTCGGATAGGGAGCGACAGAATGCTCAGTAACCAGTCAGCAATGAACTCTCAAAATTGACGTGTCAGCCGTTTCACGACCGCTCCTCCTCACTGTATCGAGGTCTATTAGTTCGGAAATATGTTTGTAAATCGAGAAAACCCTCTGCTGATGTGGATATTAATGACATAACTGGTAAGAGCTGCATCTCCTGCTAGCGTAGACTGCGTTTGCTCAAGGGCTAACAGGTTAGCTTTAATCTTATTATCTAAGTAGTCAGCTTGTAGTTCATTCGTTTTTCCCACCGCTGCTCCCACTTGTGGGGCTACATTAAACATTGGAGAGTGTCAATTTACCGACGAATTATGTAAATGTGTTATGTTTTAGATGTCAACACGCCCAACTACACATGAACTTTTCCGTCTTCTATGTTAGACAGCACCCGTGTGACAACAGTCTGTGGCGTCTGTCTGATTCATACACAGCACTACTACAACATGCTGGACTTTGGAATTGTAAAATATTTTTCACAGCTACCTTTTTTAACGGATTGTCAACAGAGATTAATCTGAGATATTTTCTCAATTAGTGTTCTGGTAATTTTACTTTAATATTTAATCATTGTAAGGAATGTAACCTTCATTCCGTTACTTATAAACTGCTTATTATTTTTGTTGTATCCATTCAGTGTTCTTCTTGATTTGATTTTTTAAACTAAATAATAATCAGCACAAATATGTTTTTTGTCTTCACTTTGTCAGGAAAACATAATTGATTTGGTTTGTAAAGTTAACAAGATTTTTAGAAAAACACACTGAGTTTGACATTGATACGTTTTTACATTTTTTACAAGCAAATGGAAAAACCTGTGGGAACTTAACGACTAGTTCCTGCCCAATGGTGTTGTCTCAAACTATTGATTTCACCCTTTGTGTCTTTTTATTTCTACAGGAACGCCAAACTCTGATATTTGGAAACCTTGCAGGTATTGAAGAGTCATTGCAGCCAAATGGCCAAGGAGCATAAACAAAGCAGGGCAGAAACGTATGCTCTGACTGGGTCAAACGGTCACAATGGGCAGCAGTGGCAGACTGCTGTGAATAACGTAAACAGTCATCCTTTGGGCACCAACGGCAGGTCAAGGATGGCCCGCGTTGCCTCAGATGTCAAACAAAAATGTGCAGCGTATGTGCTAGCTCTTAGACCGTGGAGTTTTAGTGCTTCACTTACACCAGTGGCCCTTGGCAGCGCATTGGCATATAAACTGGAGGGCTCCGTGGACTTTGTTATCCTGTTGGTGTGTGCAGTGGCTGTGCTTGTGGTTCATGGTGCTGGAAACCTTGTTAACACCTACTATGACTTTTCTAAAGGAATTGATCATAAGAAAAGCGATGACAGAACTCTTGTGGACGAAATACTGGCGCCACAGGATGTAGTAATGTTTGGTGCTTTGTTATATTCCCTGGGATGTCTGTGTGCAACACTGCTCTACTTCCTGTCTACACTCAGGCTGGAGCATCTAGCCCTGATTTACTTTGGAGGCCTCTCCAGCTCATTTTTATACACTGGAGGTGAGTAAATGATTAACTTTAATCTTTTGATTATTGATAAGTTGTCTGACAGCCACCCCAGTGAATAAAGAATTTATGTACATTCTTTCACGCATGCAGACCACAGAGTCTGATCCAGCTTATCCAGTGAATAGACAGATTGATTTAACAAAGGCCAAATTAAATGAACTTTGTTTTAAAATACTAACTAGAAAGATATCCTACAGCTAAATTTTTTTTACTGTTAGTTATGGTTACCTATGCGTGGCACACAATTTAATGATGGGTATCTGTCAATGAACACAGATATTGAGTTAAATGGCTGTATATGTTAAAAGTAACACTCCTATTTGTTTAACAAAATTATCAGTAATTGACACTGCTTTAATGTTGTAACCAGATAATGAAACTATAGACCAAAATAACAGAGTGGCATTGCATTATAGTCTAGAATAACTATTCTGTAGATGATGAGGCATATGTCGGTTGAGTCTAGACTTGGTGGGTTATTTGTGCCCCCCCAGCACCTGTGCTGTCAGTGGGTAGAAAAGCTGTAGTACAAAGCCCTACAGGATTAGAAACGTGCTGCAAAACTGCGAAACTTTGTTAATTTATTCCAGAAAGCTGTGATGCAGTTCATCCCAATCTTTTTCATTTAAGACCACATGTTAAAAAAACAGAAATTTTGTGGGAGTTTTTTGTTATAAAATATTTTTCTTTCCCATTCAGTCTGTTTATCTGCTTATGGTTTAACTCTCTGGTTGGGGTAGTGAGTCGTGGCTTTCTTTCTATTTCTTTACAGGTATTGGTCTCAAGTATGTGGCTCTGGGAGATGTGGTAATACTTATCACGTTTGGTCCTCTGGCTGTCATGTTTGCTCATGCAGTTCAGGTTGGATATCTCTCTGTGCTGCCTCTGGTTTACGCCATTCCACTGGCCCTCAACACAGAAGCCATCCTCCATAGCAACAACACCAGAGACATGGACTCTGACAAGCAGGCAGGCATCGTCACTCTGGCCATTCTCATTGGACCAATGCTCTCCTACATCCTCTACAACATCCTGCTCTTTGTCCCCTATGTGCTGTTTTGCATCCTCGCCACACATTACACCATAAGCATGGCTCTCCCACTGCTTACCCTGCCCATGGCCTTCCCACTGGAGAGGCAGTTTCGTAGCCGCTACTATGCAAAGATCCCCCAGAAGACAGCCAAGCTCAACCTCCTCATGGGACTTTTTTATGTATTTGGTATCATCCTTGCACCTCCTGGCAGCCTGCCATTATTATGATTGATCAGCTTTGAAACATTGGTTGTTTTAACACTAGATCACAAGACTGCCTGTGATGGTACAAAGTTATGTGAACATTTCACTGGCTTTAATTTATAGTTTCATATGATCGGAGATTCATGTTTAGTTTATTTGCATTGACACCCAAAGCATTTTATTTTCAGTATTAGGCCTGCTTTAATTATTTGGTTAAATAGCAAATGGTGATATTTTAGAAGTGGGCAAGATTTTTATTATTTAACAACAGACCATAGTTCTACATTTGCCATATAAGCAGTTCTGCAAAATGGTTGTTATATAATATGATGCCAGTAAATGTTATATGTTTGGCATTGTTCTGTTTGTAAGAAAAACACAATTGATTTTTCATTTTTTGCAGAAGAGCCAAATAGCACAGATTATAATAAAAGTCAGTGTTGCTGATGTTCAATGTATCACTGTCATTTATTGTCGACTACAATTGTATGTGAATAATACTGATTTAAATAAGAGTGATAACTTTTTTATTGAAAATTAAACTTTGAGAATAAAGAAATACGTTTTGTTAACTAAACTGAAGATAAACATAACCTTCTGCAGTGGATGTGATTCTGGAAAGATTGATTTAAATACGGTGGCAGCTCCTTTATAACAATTTTAATCAACCTAATGTAAGTAAAAGATAGGAGTTTCACTGTCCTCTTTTAGAATACTGTCACACAAAAAAGAATTGTATATGAATAATGCTTTTTTTCTGTGAAATACACTAATTTGTAGAAAGCGTTAAAAAGTGTGCTGGGGAATAAACAAGAACATATGCAGTGACATGTTTATGTCAGTAAGAGGCGGTATTTGACAAACTAAGCTTGCACGGATGACGGCAATTGCTACTGAATATGAAGACTACATACAGTACACGATTTTATTATTCAGTAATATATCACATTCAAATGAGCCCTTTAGGGTTAGTTTTATTCCACATTTGTTATTTTGTTTCAGGTTTTTATATCTTATTAACCTTTGCTTGGAGCCCAAGTGAAGTCAGAATTTGGGTTTAATTGTCTTGCCCAGAAACGTGTTAAGTTGGAATTGGACCCTAAACTGAGTGATTAAAGGACACTTTTTGTACCCGCTGGTATATAGCAATTTCTTCATTAAATCTATGATAAACTTGCAACGCCCCAGTGATGAAAATTACTGAAACACAGCGGGAAGCACAGAGGCCTTGGAACTGACAGAATATTGATGGGGTGATTTATTATGTAAATAGTTTTCTTGAAACCTTTAATTAATTGTTACTGAGATCCTGACCTCATTAGTAATTACCTCACTTCCCTCTATATTTATGGGAGGGCTGTGGCTTTTGTGGTTTCCACCTACAGCCCTGAGACATAATTCTGTTACTCCAACCTTGTACTGTGTATGTTGTGTAAAGTCAATTAAAATCTTTGAAAAAGCTCACAATTTGCATCGAGAATTTCTAACATTATTGCACTACAGTGAAATTGTGCTGTTAGAGAAATATCTGGTATCATACTTTTTCAGTTGTTAAGCCGTGGTACTTGTGAGGAACACATGTGATTCATTTTCACATTTAATAAGACCTTTAGCGGCGCATTTACTCAAAACAATAAAGCGTACTAAAGGCTCCTGGGCCAGCAGGAGTTCTACAATACAAGCTATGCAATACTATACTTACAGAAGAAAGTTTGTACGAAGGTAATTTGTACTTAAAATGTTTGTAACGCCATAATAATTTGATTAAAGAACTGTATTGAATGAAACCTATGGCTGTAGTTGGCTGGCTGGGTGTAACTGAGCACATTTAATAATATTAAGAATACTTAATATTAAATTAATATAGTTAATATTATTGTTACAGTGACAGTTTCCACTTTTACATGTAGGTAATTAGGGGTTTGCCTCCATCTTACCTGTTCCGATTTCGAGCAAAGGAAGTATCTTGATTTATATAGAATATATTTTATCTTTATTTAACTTTGACGTAGAATAAGCCAAATTGTATCCACTGTAACATTATCACTGCTGTTACTGTACTGTGATACTTTTTCGAGCGACAAGCGAAGGCAGCGCCGTCGTGACGCAATGTATGGGCGTGTTGTCATGGCTGTGTGCTGCAGAGCCGCTCTCTGTTGTGAATACTTACCGCTCCTAAAACACGTAATGTCAGTGTTAGCGGAGGACAACAACACGGAATTACAATTAACCACAAAGTTACTAAACCTGACGGAGGCTCGGTGAGTAGCTACAGCCACGGAAGAGTGATTTTTTTATCTCAATAAAGGATGGGGAGACGTGAGTTAGCTTACTAGCGTCCATGTAAAGAGGCAGGCTCTTGGTACGTACAGTCTTATCATCACCTCATAATGAGGAGCCAAGTAAAAATACTATTTAACAATTGAATCAAATTAGCGTCTAAACTAATACTTTTTATCGTACTTTTAAATATGACACAAATCCTCAATTGTAAAGAAGAAACATGACCAGTTAAAAATATTCTGGTCAGAATATAATATATAATATAATGTGGTTGGTGATAAGAGGTTGATAGGATCATTGGTGACGTCAGACGTTATTTTTTGGAGCTGTCACCTGGGCCATAAAACGTGTTTATTTTTTTAACAGAACCGATACGTTTTGCCTTAAACGTACCATTGTTTCGGTCATTTTAATCATGTAGTTCCACTTGCCAGTTATATTGGCCAGATGAAGAACCAGTTTCGGCTTTATTGCTTGATGCCCTTAACACAAGTAAAAACGTATACATGTTACTGGGTGTTAGCCAGGAAGCTAACTCGAGTTAGGTGAAAAGTGGGAGGTGTCTTTTCTGTAAAAACGGGTTATTATCTGTATGTTATTACGTGGGGAAAATCTGTGACACAGGTTCAGATTATGGAATAAAATTAGGCTTGGGCATTTTTACCGTGTCGTGTACAGGTCTATAATAACCGGTATTCTTAATATTTATTTGAAAGAGCCTGTTACACTTGTTGTTTACATATATAATCTCTTTACAGAGAAAGACTTGCAGAGCTGTTTTTAACCAAAGCCTGGACGTAACCATCATTTTTTACATTTTATTGTAGCACATACATTTTTGATTGTCCTCTAATCATCTGGTGCCTACTATTTAATAGATTGTATTAAATGTCATTCCATCTATCTATATTATTTAAAAAGCTCGAAGAAAATCTTTAATAAAAATAATTTTCATTTATCTTGTCTTGTAAGACAATGCAAAGCTAATCAGTTTTACATTCATAAAATCAGAAATCAAATCTTCACAGCCACTCTCATATTATTGTCCCAGAGTCTGTTATATTTACTCCAGTCCCTGCACCAATCTACTACCTTTTTGTATTAATAGATTTTCTTTTCTTTCCTGGTGATTGCTTTTCACACGTCATTGATTTTTTTTCAAAGGTGCCGATAGCAAAAGTTAAGCTTTTATGGATTTCCCCAGAGGAGAAATACACAATAATTAATCGATTAATCCTTGATGAAATAGCTGCTTTGATTTTTTTTATATGACTGAAATTTTAAAATCTTAGTAATATCATCTGGTTAATTGAAGGCCATTTGTTGTCTGGAAACATCAAACAAATCAATTTGTTATTTTTACAACATGGTGGCCATCAAAATTAGTTCACTAACCAATTCACATTAGAAATGAGTATGAATTGGTTACATTGAAAGGGATTAATTAGTATCTCGTCCCGAAAATGTTTTCTTAGGCGCTGTTAGATAAACAAAGAGCAAAAGTATTTTTCCAGACACTGATCCAGAGATTTTAATGATATGATATGATAAAAATAAAGGATAGAAAATAAATTGGGAATGGAAAGTACAATACAGCAATGGCTGCTTGTAACCCTGAACAAAGCATGCGACTGGTTTTGGTACTGGTAATTAGTCTAAAGTAGCATACCATGTTGTTTTTCGGACAATAATAGAGTTATAAGTGTATTGCTTGTGTTGTTACACACATAATAAATAAGAATATAGAATATAAGAATAAATAAGTTCCTATCTGTTTTTGAGATTTCATTATTTTCAGCCATAAGCCGAATTGATGACGGTGCAAGTGTGTGGCCACAGTTGCTTTCTGAGCTCACATATGTACTGACGGGTGCTGAGATTGTGGCTTTGAAGAGTTGATTCCCACCCTTGAGTTGCAACTGCAAAATGACATTTAACCCTCTCCACCTGTCATGTCTGTGGTGGTGGTGGTGGTAGCAGTGATGAAACAGAGCCCAGCAGTGGTTGGACACAGTGAAGCTTAATTTTGGCCACGCCTACATGGGACACCAAAGGTTTGAGTCATTTGCTCCCGCTAGTTGTCTCTTCCTGTTGACTCTATTACTGGCTTTTACTATACATCAAAATCACAGTCTCAGGCCCTGACATGTCCTCTGGTCCACACCAAGGAAAATAATTAGGCGCTTCCGAGAGGCAGGTGATCTCATCTAGGAGGAAATGGGGGAAATATTGTGTGGAACTTCTCATGGTAAGACATTTTAAATACAAAAAAGCAAATAACATTTGAGAAAAAATTTCGTCAGTTCATGTATAGTTGGTCATGTGAAAGGAGTTTCAGTCATTTTCTTAAGGGCAACAGTTTTATAGAAACTGCTGATGTTTGTTTACACTTACTTATCCTTACAAGTCTTACAAATTTTGTTACCAACTAGTTTTTTTGTTAGTTCACAGGTATGTAGGAGAACTGTAGGTTTGTGGATTTACTAATTTTTATTCCTGCCTCTGGGACTATTAAAAGAAATATTTTAGGATGAGGAGCCGCATTCAACTGTGGTCCTAAACCTAAGACATACCTGCCTTGGTTTGTGCTGTATGGTTGGACATTTATTTTAAAAACATAGTAAGTAAAATGCTGCTTTTATTCAAATGTTTGTTACTGTTTTGCTGCTACTGTGTTTATGAATGAGAAGGTGGAAAGAGTTATCTTTGCTGTGGTTGGTTTTGTGATCTAATTAACATATTTTTGTTGGTAAAATGTTTAGGTCAAAACAAAATATTTTCCTGTCTATTATCTTATCATTATATCAGACTCACAACTACTTAGAAATACTTTTGCTAGTAAGTAATGCTGCTGCAGAAGTAATTTCCTTCCTGTAACAGCACTGCACTAGGAAACAATGTGTCAACGAAACAACAACGACAAAACAACCTCACTCCTCGAAAGAGGATTCTTCATATTTAATACATGCACAAAATTACATTACTGAAGGACTTCTAGTTACAAGTGTTATTACTAATTAATTTCCTAGCTAGTGGTGTTTGGTTGCTAAAAAAAGTTCTATATTGTTAGATTATTATATTGTGTGTGTGGGCTAGAGCTGCACTGTGTTTGTTACTAGGAACAATACTGCTATTACATGGACAGGATCAGCTTCAGAGCAGCTGCTAACAAGTGCTGTAATAAACTTTATTATAAGCTCATCTCAGCTGCTTCCTTAGCCTGTGTTCATTCATTAGCTTTTCATCCACTGGCGGAGGCAGTTGTACATTGTGTGTGTGTGGGTGTGTGTGTGTGTGTGGGTGTGTGTGTGTGTGTGGGTGTGTGTGTGTGTGTGGGTGTGTGTGTGTGTGTGGGTGTGTGTGTGTGTGTGGGTGTGTGTGTGTGTGTGGGTGTGTGTGTGTGTGTGGGTGTGTGTGTGTGTGTGGGTGTGTGTGTGTGTGTGGGTGTGTGTGTGTGTATATGTGCATGTGTGTGTGCGGCTGTACTGTACTGTTGATGGCCAGCACAGCTTTCAGTGGAAAGTGACAAGCATTGATTAGCCAAATCACAGCTTCACTTTAAAGCCAATCGTCTTCTGTCTTTATTCCTAATAAATTGTTTTGAACCAACTATTGCTTCTTTACCCATAATTCCACATTAATATGATAATTATATATATAGATAATTATTGCCAGTTTGCCAGCAGTTGTGGGAGGAACCAGTTGTTGACTAGAATTGCGTGTTGTGGCAGGTGCCCATTCATCAAATTCTTCTTCACCCCCACCCTTTTTTGTAGCATCCCCACCTACTCAATATGCCAGCTAAGCCCTCCCCCCTTTCTCTTTTCACACAACCCCAGACCCTTCTCCCCCTCTGACTGTATGTCCTTCTCCCCTCCCCTCTTGTCCTTTGCTTGTCTGCTCATTGGCAGCAGAGAAAACAGTGTCCCCTCAGGCTGTGAGAAAGACAGAGAGAGAGCTGTACATCCTCAACATCCTCACCTAGTGCTTAATGCGCATGTTTTTATAAATCCCCCATCTAGTGAAACAGTGATCACCTCCCCCGGTGATGGAGCAGAGCATCAGAGGAGTCCTGTGCAGAGCAAAGCCCACTGGCCTGTTTCAGCACCAAAGCAGTAGAACATCGAACTGAATGCAGAGCCCGTTGGACAGCCATGCTCCCTGGCTACCCTTCTCTCCTCTCTCGCCCTCTCTTCTTCTCTCCTCCTCCTACACGATGGTAATCCTTGCTGACACAACACACAAAGGACTATACGCGGACTGCATCCTTTACAGGCACAGCTCTTTCCTTTTCCTCCTTCAGCTTTGATCCTCTACAGCCTTTGTCATACGCATGTACAGCGGGACATTACACGCAGCTGTATATCACATCTCTGGAATACCAGCCCAACTGTCATTCTCCTCCTCCGCCTCCTCAGCCTACACCTTCTTCCCTGCTCCCTGCATCCCCTCCTACTGCTCAGTTGGTTCATTCAGGGAGTGCATGAGCGCACGGCTCCAGCCCTGAGGAGGATGATTTTTTCTGTTATAATGGAAGCTGGTGTTACCACACTGCCAACAGAAGTGGTTTTCATTCTCTGACGGATTTTCTTAGCGAGGAAGTGTAGGAGCTGCTTTTCTATTTTTATCGCTTTCTTTCTTTACCCCGCTGCACATCAGTGTACCAACAGGTAAACCACCTATACCACTGAAGCTTTCTCTCTCCAGGGTTTTGTCTCAGTCTTGTTTATTTTCACCCATGAAAACCATCTTGGTGCTGTTCATATTTAGATACAAATAAGGCTTTTTTATGAGTGTAAATGAATGAGAATGTCTTATATTGCATTTGTAATGTTGTCATTATCAAGAGAAACATGGCTGCTTATGTTGTTATCAGGCGGTCATAGCTACCTGGCTTTCTGACTTTTACCGTTAAAGTGAGACTAAAAGATCATGTGCAAAGACAACGAGGAATCCATCCAGTCTTTGCCTGTGTCAAATCAGTGGAGCCACATGTCATTGCAGTGTAGTAGAGCTAGCAGACTCATCAAGAGGGCAGCTGAAAACCTGACTGCTGTTTGTATTGGTTTGGTAGCTGATGGTCACACACAAAATGGTTTGTCCTACTTGTCCTGCAAATAACTTCACTGGGTTAATGTGGTCTTAATGCAGATCATTTTAATCTAAACATTTCTTACTGTAAAATTGGAATGAAAAGGTGTTTTACTATGACACTGTTGTATGGTTTGCTGTGGTCTTCCTCCCACACTGGAGAAGCAGGTAGACATGGTCACCCTGTCAACATTGACCAAAGCCCTACGTACATATTGTTCCATTGTTTCATTCGGTGTATCTTTGATTGAAGGCATCTTTGAGACACAAGAATACACATCATAAATAAACAGAAAGACCATGAACTTGGAGGTTTTTAATCATTTAGTGTAGGCATAGCATGTAGCAAAGAATCATAATTGTGTTTAGTTTATTCTCTCATACACTAAATGTTTTTAATCTTATCCATCCTTGTCCAGGAGACTATATGTGAGAACCTGAAACATTAGTACCAGTGTTGGATTTCTTTATGACTTTTGACTTGACGTTTAACTTAAGGTCATTTTGCAGTTTGCACCTAAAGGTGCAAGAATTTGGCCCTTCTTGAAAGAGAAAAGCCAGAGTTGACAACACAAGAAATGATCAAAGCGCACTCTCATCGCTTATTATGTGACACAACAACGCCTTGTGTTTATACAGAGTGAGGTATTTACCTCATACACACAGTGCCTTTTGTATGAAATTACAACTTCTCCTTTGTAAAATCTTTACCATGCTCAGTCAGTTCTTGTGTCTTTTTACATACAGTAGAATGTAAAAAGTCTTATCCAGTCCATAGGTAACTTTTAGCAGGCAGGGAAAACACTACATCAAAGCAGAAGAACAAACTGCCTGTTCAATATCAAAGAGCAAAGTTCATGTCCATCCAAATACTTAGTATTTGCCTGTTAGGGTTCATTCCCCTGTTAGCAGGATGGTAGTTCCATAGTACCCTGGGATGTCAGACCATCCCGTGGGCTTAGCTGTAGGAAAGAACAAGGAAAAGGTTGTGGAAATACATGTTTCTACCCCTGGACCTGTACAGCAGCATGTACAAAAATGGACTGAAAATAATGGGAAGTAAGTATTTGGATTTAAATTAATTTAAATGTTACATTTTGCTTTTTGTCAAATGTACAGTTAGTGTTCTTGGATACAATAAGAGGTTGGAGGAAGTTTTCAAGCCATGATTTTTCTGTCATGTATAGGGGCTGCAGCTGGCTGTTACTTATACAGTTCATAAATCACTGTTTTTCTTTGTCACTGGTTTCTTTATATTTTTCCATAAAATACATTGTTGAAGGAACTGAAGAGTAAATATGTTTACTGCCATGAGAAATCAAGGACTAAAGTAGCTTTTATTAATAGAGTGATGAAATTCAATGAGATTTGAATGGGTAATATTTTTTGTATTAGTCTGTTGGTCTTGTCTTGACTATGTTGAAAAAAATCACTTAACTGGTCTTCTTTCCATAAAACTGTATCACAATGAATACATTATTTAAAAAAATAGCTGTTGAAGGATTAAATAGCAGATTAATACTTGATACTTGGACTGATTGGTGCAACTCTGGCGATGTGGGTGTTATTTGAAACTGTTTTGGAGTGAGTAATCATTAGGGAAGTCTACTTTGCCAAAGCAGAAGGCTGGATGTATCGCTTTTATTACCCTAGTTGCTGCATCACAAATTGTAAATGTGTTGTGTGCTCAGGATCCTTATTGATTGTCCACAGAGTCCTCTGGCCACCAGATGTGTCTGACATGAACCAGTTGCAGCAGGCTGATATTAGAGCTGATGAGGCTAAAGTCACAGAGTCAGTGGTTAGATAACACTTTAGTAAGCATTTATTGTTGGACTTGTGGCTGCAGCACAAAAAAACCTACACAAACAAAGAGTCTCTAATAATAAGATATTAAATTGGGGCTAGGCCACAAGGCCTGATCAGACCTCAGGCATATTTTTTCAAAGGTGTGTGTGCGTGTGTGTGTGGATGCTTCACGTTGGAAGTTTTCCATGTCCGTAGTCTCCTGGGTCTTATGTAACACTGTCTCTCACGCGGTTTCATGCGCCATTGATATTGATTGATAGACATTTCGTGTCACCGGTCCAAACTAACCTCAACCTCAATGCCATTGCCACGCTCATGTGGGTTTTCTATTTTTCACGTCTGTTCTGTCAAGGATGCTCACCACATGCAAGGTGCTAGCTTCCAAGTTGGTTTGTTTTATATATGAGAGAATTTTAGTCATCAATTTTTTCAAAGGCAGATTTAACTATATCTTAAACACAGGAGGCATGGTTTTGGTGCTTATACCTCACTCACTACTTTTGCATGATTAATTCCATAAACTCAAAAAATCTGTTCAGAATCATCTTTTGTATACTGTATAAACCAGGTTCATTAGTCTGTTAAAAGAAAGAACTTTTTGTTATGTCTTCTGTTCATTTCTTGTATGGTTGTTAATCAAACAATGTTTCCATTTTGAGAAACTGGGCATTTGTTTGTAAATGAACCAAAATTACTCACAGTGATTTCAACAAAAAACATGTATTTCTTTATAGATGTAAAATTATCAGTTTGAAAATATAAATTGCGCTTCCCACAAAATATCAGATTTTACAGTACATGGAATATATTCATTGATTGTTTTAGAGTATGCTAACACTGTGGTCATCCATTTGGTTGTATGTGTGAAAAAACTTGGACATCATCTCTGTGATTGGCCTTCAGCAATGTGTAGGACAGAGTCCAGTCCATCTGTTGGTACAGGCCCTGCTCACAGATTGGCAGCAACATTTCAGTGACACAGGTGGCCTGGTCAAGGCTGCTATAGACACATCCACACACACACACGCATGCACACACACAGGCACATGGCAGTCCACCTCTGGAAGACTTACACTTGTGTTTAGCTCGTGTGCTCTTAGTTTGCTTCTCTGTTAAAACATGTGCTTAACTATATTTAAACTACCATTTCACTATCAACCACATACTTTAAATTAAAATTTGTTAACCTGTAGCTTAGTTTTGAATCAGGGCAGATTTTAGATTTTAGGCCGGTTCTGTGCTTTTATAATTGGTCCTATAGTTTATCTTGGTGCCTTTTGCACGTCACATACAGCTATTTGAAATTTAAACAGCAGTATAGATTTAAATACCTACTTAACATTTACTAACTCTTAGAATTCTCTTTTTTTGCCCATTTGTGACAGCATCCTACCTTATTTTAAATGTTGATTATGGCAAGATTGTAAACTATTTTATTTAACAGTTTTTTTGTTGAAAAAGTAACAAAGGGGCAGCAGATGGTATTTAAAGTAGTAACTCTATTAAACACAAGGAGTTGTTATTGCGCCATCACCAGTTTGAGAGAAGGAGACACTGAGAATATACTGTCATCAGGTCTTAGGCCTCAGTTCTGGAATTTGACCTGATTGTTGCTGCAGATAACTTACATGCATCATATAGGGAAGGCTAAGTCAACACAGCAGTGTAAATATAGTAATACAAATAGCACTGAACACTGCTCAGTACTTGTTGGGAACAAGATGTTTGTTTAATGATAAAATTTATGTTTTGTAACCACAGTTCATCTTTAAAGTCTATTGATATTTAATATTCACTTTGAATTATTACTTACATTAAGGATGTAAGTAAAGGTACAGAGGCACTCAAGATGAAGTTTTCATTGTTTTTTTTAAGGACAAAGAGTCAACAGTGGCCATAGCCTTTTGAACAGCTCAAGTCTTTTATACAAATTTAATGGACAAAACACCCTTTTAAATACTGTGAGTATCAGTTTTTCAATCCTTGCCAAATCTTATTACAATAAATTGTCAACAGAATTCTGGTAAATTTGTTGGTAAAAATTGCTGGAAACTCTTTGCTTTGTCCTTTTGTCTGATAAATAAATGGTTATTTTTTGCACACTGAGAGCTTGTTTTATGTTAATTCATTTGTTGCGGGTATATGTTCTCATCAGGTCTAAATTAACTCTACACCAATGTGGAAGTGGCCAAGTGAGTCAGATGGAAGTTTTTGTGAATGTGTAGGTAGCTGTTGTAAAAGTTTAAATTAATAGGTCAAATTCTCATTCGGTAGGTTGATGGTAGGTTGATTGTAGGTTGATGGTAGATCAGTATTTTTTCCTGTTGGCAAAACAGTCACTTAATCATTGTTCTATTTGTAGTCTCACAAAAATGATTGTGTCATATCTTGGTCTGGATCAGCTTAGCATTTCTGCTTCCGTCTACACCCAGTAGAGCAGGGGTGTCTATCAGTCATAGACTCTTTTTTGCCTGTTCACTGTCAGACAGGGACATGATTCCATAACATAACTGAGACCCAGCTATGATTTGGGGCAAACAATTAGGCAAAGAAGTCATTGTCCTCCTTTGATCACTACATGCCTTAAAATATCAGAATGCCAGTGTTATTTTGATAAGTTTGCAAAACTGTTGTGTTGCATGTTGGGGACATTTGTTCACAAGTTTGTTAAAAGGTATAGATACAAAGTCAATGTGTGAATTGCTTGATAGACACAGGCTGTACTTGTTGTAAGATTTTTTTTTTATAGGCATGCTTTTTAAAACCACATTAAATAATATAAAATCTCCCCTGTCTCCATTTACCGGATGGAGACTGTGATTTAGATGTGTGGTTCTTGTAAACTGGGTTGTAATGGATTACAACCACCATCTGTTAGTGAATGTGGTCAAATGTTTGACCCTTTGACAAACACAGGGAAGGATCCCAGAGAAGGGGCTTTTACTGTAACTCTTGACTGTTGCTGTATTTACTCTGTTTTATGTGGGCTTTTGTGCTGTCTCACAGTGCAGGTGTGGTGTGTGTGTTTATGATTTTCTTGTCATGTCTGTCTGTTTCCTTTTCCTGTTGTCTTTGTGGGGTTATCTGTGGGATCACACTCACCTGTTGGTAATTAGTTTCACTTGTGTCATTTGGTGCTCCCTGTGTTTATGTACCCCTCTCCCTCACTCTGTCCGGGTTGGATCATTGTGATTGTGTTGGATCATTGTATCTGTTCCTGTGCTCAGCTTAGTGTGTCATTTGAGTTCTTAGTTTGTACTTAGTAGTTTATTCCTTGTCTAGTTTATGCCTTATTCCTGGTCTTGTGAAGAAGTGAGTTTTTTTGTTGTTTTGGCCTTGCACTTTGAAAATAAAACTACCTGCACCAGAAAGAGTCTCACCAGTACTGCATTTGGGTCCTGCCTGCTTCCTGCGATGCCTGCACGTGACATTTCTGGGTTTTGACAAAGCCTGATGAATGCTGTGTGTATTAAAAATGCATTTGTGTTATCAAGCTAGTGCAGCATTATAAAACAGCATTTCAGCTGATTTGGGGTTAATGTATTGTTTTTTTTGTTTATTTTGGCTCTTTTTAAATTATTTTATCAGTTAACTTTAATTAATTAAGTTAATTGATTTGGGTTTTTGGTAACTTTAAGTTGTTATAATTTCATTATATCTAACTTTATGTATTACTTTAAGTGCCTGACAGGCAACATACAGGCTTTTTGATTAGTGTGGTTTAAAAAAGGGCAGTCCCACTGAAGCTGTGACATTTATTGGCAAGTATTAAAATTTAAATTGCCAAAAGATATGTTTTGAAACAAAAAGGGCACTAGAAAATCTATGGTATTCTGTACAGTTAAACTGCAGTGGAAATTTGCTTCTGGGTAATTTTTGATGGAAATGCCACTCAATCATCCAGAGTTACGATGTGTCGTACAACAAAAGCTTTGTTATTTTTCAGTGGAAGAAGTTAAAATAAATTTAACTTCTATATCTTTGCTGTTGTATTTTACTCTTTGAACTTTTGTCTTTTTCTCTCAGTTTCTCCTGATCTGTTCCCTGAAACACCCGTGGTGCCAGCCCTTCCTGCAGTCTCAGTGGCAAAAGCTGTCCCCACCCACCATAAGCCCCAGAAGTCCAGGAGCGACAGCGCTGCCAGGCCCCGCCCTTTGTGCTCTGCCCCAAGGCCAGGCCCTGACAAAGGCAGCATGGAGGTGGGCATGCGCGTGGTACGTGGCCTGGACTGGAAGTGGGGAAACCAGGATGATGGTGAGGGCCACGTGGGCACTGTAGTGGAGATTGGTCGTCAGGGGAGCACAACCACCCCAGACAAGACAGTGGTTGTGCAATGGGACAGTGGCACGCGAACAAACTACCGCACAGGTTACCAGGGTGCCTATGACCTGCTGTTATACGATAATGCGCAAATCGGTAAGAATCTCACATGTAACCTGTGAATATTTTGTCTAGACTTAGCTGCTTTCTATTTAAGGATTTTGGGTTAAAGCTACTACAGGCTTCACACTTATAGTGTGATAACTTGTGCTTCTGTGAATTTAACCACAGGTGCAACTTTAAAAAAAGAAAGAATTTCTAAAGGTATTGCAAGATACTTGAAGACTGCATGTAGTTTTCCTTCTGTGCACCATTTAAATGCCTTTATTGCCTTCCACTCATCATGATTAAAGAGATCTCTAGTACGACTAAATACTACATTCATGATCATCTCCTACTCCTCTCACCTCATTATTATCCAAAGCTAAATATTGAGTTGGGTTTGAGGGGGTTTGAGTTTGAGTTGAGAGGAGCATGGTTTTGTGCAAATATTTCTTATTTAAATATCATATCTTAGCATATTCTGAACTGATTAGGGCTTAATATATGGACTTCTTATAGATAATATATCTCATCCTCAGACCCTATATTGGAATTTACTGGCATATTTTTTGTTACAGGACTTTAGCCTTTTGCATTATATAGAAACATACATTTCTGCTTCAAAAGCCAGTGTTCTATCTAATAGAGCAGAAGAAACGGGAAATGAGAACATGGAGTATATTTGCTATGGCCAGAGTTCTTTCACATCTCATTTTCAACATCATTTGGTAGAATAATTGTATTTCCTCTTGCCTTTTATAGGATGTGATTCTATATGAACCAGTACATTTCTGTTAACCGTGTCTTCTTCTCATCCAGGTGTCCGTCACTCGAATATCATCTGTGATAGCTGCAAGAAGCATGGCATTATGGGAATGCGATGGAAGTGCAAGGTGTGCTTTGACTATGACCTGTGCACCCAGTGTTACATGAACAACAAGCATGACCTAAGCCACGCCTTTGAACGTTACGAGACAGCACACTCCCAGCCGTGAGTACTTCCTCAGGACACTTGATCCTCATTAATTTAACATAAGGTTGTGATCCATTACTGCATCTACACTCAAGTTACTTGGTTTGTTTATCACTGGGCACCTTATACGAGGTTGACTGCACTGTTGTCTAAATGCAGATGTCAGTTGTGTTTACTGCTGTTGGTAAATGGGTGTCAACTGTGTCTATATATACAGCATCTCTTCTCACTTAATTAGCCATGAGCAGTATATATTGGTTGTGTATTTTAGGGGTACTGGCTTAGCTGAGGTTACATATACACATGGATATATCACACTGTAAAAATCAACAGAGTGGATGTGTTATTGTTTTTCAACAAAACAGCCCTATTTTAGCCCTTACAACTTTGCTAATAAGCAGAGCTGTATATTGATATTTGATAATCAAGTTTAATTAGAGTTTTCACTATTTAATATATGTTTTCAGTGTTACATCATTAGCATTGCTTTAGGACTGCCTATATTATGACTCCAGTGCATGAAAAGCTCTTAAAAGTCAGATGTTTAAGACCAACACAGAGGAATACACTCTAATGGTCATTGACTACTGGCTTGAATGTTTTCAACTCATCTTCATTTTCAGCAGCGATGATGCAACCATATAATATTCTTCATCTGCAAGCCACGAGTGTTAGTGTAAAATAAGCATTTGTGTTGTTACAGGACTTTACTTAACTGGTTCAGATAAAATGACCTGGATGACAGGATGACCATCAGATTTGTAACCTACTCTGTAAAGTTAGTCTGTATTACACTGTTTATTTGTGACGACGCTTCTACCTGTTGGGCAGTGTCAACATTTTTGGAATCCACTCTTCTGCATCAGTTCACAATGAAGCACCAACTGCTTGAGGCAGTGTCGCTTTAATGGCCTGTTCCTGTTTTAATGAGGTGATATGTATGACCCAGACTTCCTGTATTTTGAATGGTTTGGAACAGACGACAATTCTAACATTATAATCCTATTTTACATCATAGCTCCTAAATCATAAATAGTTTTCATTTCAGTTACTTTACAGTGTAACTGCGGTTAGACTTGTTTCCATGGTGTCTGAACATTACACTGAGGCCCATAAATGGCCCAAAACAATGTAAGTCAGCTGAAGTCATATTACAGCTGTGAAGGTGAAAGAAGTCTTCCTCACACTTTTTGGTGTTCATCAAACCGACAAACCACTTGTTGAAGCTACAGCTGGCAAAGCTGTCCTTGATATCACAGATGTTTTTACCTGTAAGGAAGTGTCTGTGTTTAATGCAGTGATGCGGACAGAAAAATTTGCGCAAATAGGCTTTCCTTCCTCTCATATTTAGCATAGCAATCGGGATGATAAATTAAACCCGACTTGGGGAAATTCTTGGTTGCAGATGCACCCCCTGTTAAGATTTTTTAAATTTCAGCATCACACATTTTGCAAACACTATCCGTGGATTTTTCTCAGATATAATAAAATACGTCCACACTGGAGACGTTGGCACTTTCAGACGAGCCCATGTTGGCCGTGATTTTTTGGCTTGCGTTATCATAACTTGAAAATGCACTTTTGGGCTATTTTCAGCCTAAAAATTTTCAGTGCTTGAATATTTGGTGCATCCATAGAAAAAACACATGTTTGTCATGGCTGTCTGTCCCCAAAAGTAACAAAAGCAAAACAAGTAAGACATTTTTGTAGTGCAATTCATAAAATAACACCTACTGCAATGTTGAAATGATCTGTATGAGGCCAACATTCTTTTTTTTTTTTCTGTCTGCGTATTTTCATCAACTACATTAGCAATTTGTTTTGATTGCTGTCTGACACCGAAACTGATTCGTGTATTTTGGGAAAACATCACATGAAAGTCTCTACCCTCTTCATCAGATAATTCATAGAGGAGCACTGTGCAGTCTGTGGTATCAAACACAGCACAACCTTATTTCTCTGAAAACACTGACCCACATTTGACAGTATTTCTAAAGACTGATTTATTATTTGGCAGTCATGAGACTCTCTGATATTTGCCTGAAAAGACAAATTAAGCTCAGTTTCAGAACAAGTGGGACTTCATGTTTTGCCAGCAGTGATAAATGTGAGGAGACTGGTTTGGGCTGCAGAGTTAAAAGGGGCTTCTTTCATGTGGACTAAACATGTGTGAGGGTTTAATGGCAACTGAAACAGGGCAGATCTATTTGTAGTTTACAGCCATACTGTAGGAGACTTTATTAGTGGCCAGGGGGAGCACTGAGATGTTGTCATCAACATAAAGTGCAGCAGAAAGCTGATACTTGAGCAGCACCGTTATGAGCCAGACATGAGCTGGATGTACTCTGCTTTACACCTCTGATCCTTTTTAATTAGACGGGATTGAAATAGATTAGCACACTAATATTTAGGACGTGTACAGTATTATGTTAACATTTCCATCCTCTGTGACACAGACATGTCCACATTCTGGCCTTGGGGCTCATTGCTGCAATTGGACTGGTTTTATGTGGCCTCACACTGCTCTCGGAAAATTAATATTTTTATGGTCTGCCAAGGGGAACGGGGACTCTCATTTAATCCTGTGTTTTTAGTGACTTTTCAGTTTTTTCAGATTTGCTTCTGCAGTGCTAACTTCTACATTTAAAACCTACCTTTGTGTTATTTTACGTATGACGCCTGACAGAAAGTTGTGGTCTGATAGAAGTCTATGCAAAACTGGACGTTCTGGATTTAACTCCATTACAAAAGTAATGTTTGTCTATTCAAATATCCCAGGAGGAGCAATTGGTCCTTCTACATTTACATAACAACCCTTACTATAAAACATTTATTAATTCACATGTGACCAAAGCAAATACAAACTGAACCAATGTCCCTGACTACTAATACATTGTGTTGTTTTGTTTCTTCTATATTTGACTTTTAAACATCTATTGACTGGCTCAAAGTCCAGTGCACTAGTTGTTGTTGTTGTTGTTGTTGTTGAGCATGTGCGTGTTCAGGACCATATGTGTGTGCCATATGTTTATGAGGAGATGGTTGGTATGCAGTTGGTTAAGCGGATCTTCCACTCACAAACAACACATAAGTCCTCCCTCAGGAACCTATCAGGTCAACTCTGGGCCTAATCCCTCTCTTGCGTCTACAGCTACACTTCTCAACATCAACTCCAATGTTTTCAAACCAAAGACACTGCAAGGTCACTGTATATTCTCACAATTTAAACAATTATTTTTGTTCAACCAACTAATCAATCAATCAATCAGTCATATAAACATTATGTATATAGCACTTTCATTCACAGGCCGCATCTCAAAGTGCTTTACATAATAACACCAAGAGGAACCACCCCACTCACACACATACATCACCATTGTCTACTACTCTTTCATAGTTCTATTTTTTTCCTGGAATTTATAAGTTAAGGTATTGATTACAATGGCTTAGGGAGGATATAGATTAGTTTCATCTGCATGTTGAAGTATGCTTCTGTCTGGTACTGGTTTTCGTCCAGTTATTTTTACCTTTTTTTTTTTTTTCAAATCCAGCATGCTTGTTTTAAAGCTAATGTCTGGGGGCAGTTTTTCAGAAAATTAATTTAACTTGTTACCGTTTCATCACATGCTAGGTTTCTTATGAAACGACACAGTGTTCAAAACATCCTTTAGAGAAAACCCAGTATTGAACACATAAAGACTTGCTCACATTTCAGTTTTCTCATTTGTTGAATGTTAAGCTTTAGGCACCTCTCTAGCACTGGTGTCAGTTAAAACCAACAGGCACCAACAACCTCTCCCAGGTCAGAGGGCCTGTGCTCAAGTCTTGTGGCACACTCCACATTGACCAGTAATCTTTGGTTGACTGTTGACTGACTCCAGGAGGTCTGTTTTCATCTTGTTCTGATCCTGTCTGAGAAGAGAGGTGGCATTTAGTCAAGAAGGATTAAAAATGTTCATCCGTTGAAAAACCTATTTACCAAATTTGCCTTTGCCAAAAAAAAACAACAGGCTGTGTTTTTATGAAACGAAACAAGCACATTGGTTAGACTCAGTCCTGTTTACTTATTGTCAGCTCACGTTGTTTTTTTTAATCTTGTCTACTTCTTCTATTCTTGAGCTTCAGTTTTTCAATTAAAAAAAAAAATGTACAGAGCAAACACAGACACACAGGCAGTTGTATGTGCTCTATGCTTTGCCCTGAAGTAGCCTGCTTTCTGACAGCCCTGCTGTCTGTGGATTAGGTTCAAAGCTGTTGTCTGTCCTAAGAACAGCCCCGAGTCTCAGTCTCATGCCAAGATTTACATGTTAGTTGGTTCCAAGAGTCAGATGTACGACTGTTTACTGATGCAGAACCTAGAAACCTGAATAGACATGCCGTTAGCTGATGCTATTCTGAAGCAGAATTCTACTGCTGGAGAAACGTAGAGAGAGCAAAGCCTGAATCAATTCATTTTGTGACAACTCTCATGAGGATCTTTTATAATTCTTCTGGATTTTACACGAGTTTGACTTTATCCTTTAAATGCCCTCTGCTTGAAATGGAATCTTGGTTTCATCTCATCTGAAAAGTATGGGAATAGCCAGCTCTTTTGCACCAAGGTCTGATCAAATCTTTACAATAAGGTATGTTTGATTTCTTCTTTTCTCCACTCAGCTTTGATTGGTACCAATGAGTGTATGAGTTTGTTACTAACACAAGTGTGTGTTCAATGGTGTTAAACTAAAGTTCACTTAGTTGTGCTTAGTTAGTGTTTTGTTGTGTTTTAAAGGTATAACATTATTCAGCCATGATGGTTCGACATTATATATGAGCTCCAAGGGCTGAAAAGGTGATCTTTGTACACTAATACATTTATTACTTGGTAAAACAGGGATGAAACCTATGACTGCTTTCATACTCTATCAATCTTTGATGAGCCAACTAATTAAGTGACAACTTAATTTCTTTGCCTAAAAACAATTTGTTTTTATTGTGAAAAAGGATTTTGTTGTGAAAGAACTAACAGTAACAGAAACACTAAATACTTTCAAAAAACTTGCAGTCTATCTTTCCAAAAAGATTATTAAAAAGTTAAAGTTAAAAATCTTTTCTACTCTTTTCTTTATGCAGTTATTCATCGATATAAAACATTTTGGGGGGGTTGGGAGGCTGGGTACATTGCAGAATCACATATAAAGTATAGTACAAATAGTATAAATAATTTTGACTGACACTCATACCTTTGGTCAATTATTGTCAGATTAACTGATTCTGCATTTTTTTGGTCTATGAGAGAAAACTGGAGTGCCCAGGGAAAACCCCAATACACCACATAGAGAAGAAGATGCAAAAACTGCATACACCATAATTTTTTAAGCACTGAGTAAACTCTCTTTGTAAGCACAACAGTATCCTGGGCCTGTAAACAAACCACTGTTGATGCTTTAGAAACTAAACTGACATCAAGAATGCTGCTTGCCAAACCATGAGATTAATGTTGTGGGCTTGCATTTGCACAAAAAAGACCTCCACATAAAAGTGTAGATCATTCTTTAAAATCTCATCAATTTAAAATCTGTAAAATATTTTTTGAATCTCTATAAAAAATGAATCTCTATAAAAAATAGTGTTGTTTAATGTAGGTTTTCTGTAAAATAAGTGATTTGTGGTTTATTTTTCACAGACTGTCTTTATCTCTTTGCTCATTATTACCTGATACATTTTGGTATGTGTTCCCACTAAATGTGTTGTGTTCAAATATCATCAAGATTGTGTCTGAATTTTGCCCTTTAGAAAATCATCAGCTGTGTGTCTTT